TTTATAAAAAAAAAAAAAAAAAACCCCAAAAAAAACCAAAAAGTTATTTTTTTTTTTTTTTTTTTTGCTTTAATGAGAAAAGAAACATTTTATTGCCTAAAATGCAATAAAAGAGAATTTATTTTGTGAATGTTTTGTGGTTTGTTGGAAAGGATGCAGCTAAAAGTTACTTCTAAGAAAAAAGCTCCGCCTTTTCTTTTTCACTTAACGTCAGTACAGTGTAGGGCTGATCTCTTGACTAGTTTCTCAATTCATCGACTAATAAGTTGCTTGCAGACAGTGCTTAACAGGAGATTTTTTTTTTTTACAAATTTTTAAACCAGGTTAAAACTTTGCCACGAGTTCTAGGAAGTTTTTTTTTTATTTAATGGAAATATTCTTTGCACAGTTTTGACTTAATATCTACTCTAAGGGTGCTGTCCTTTCAGAAAATGGCATATTTTTGAGTCTGTATACTAAAGTTAACGATTAATCAATTACTAAATTAGTTGACGATTATTTCAGTAGTCGATTAATCCAATAAATTGTTTTAGAAAATATTAAGGCAGGCTGTGAAATTTAAATAATGCTCAGTTATTAACTGGAGCCCAAAGTAAGCCAGGTAGCTGTTCTCACATCATTATACCAGCAGCAGGTGGTATAATGTTCTCATGTTGCTTTCACCAACTTCTCACCCTACTTTCTGAATGTCTCAGCTGACATTTTTATTTTTATTTCTTTATTTGGATTCCCATTAGCCATCGCCATGACATTGCCTGCACTTCCTCAGGTCCGCACATTTAATATAGCATTAGCAACGTAGCATATTGACTCATAAATGTACAATTATGACTCTTAATTAAACAAGGCTCTTTTAAAATCTCTAGTATTGGTTACATTTACGCCTAAGTCGAAGGAAGGGCGTTCCATGTTTTCATTTGTCCAGGATTCTTGGACGTTGAGACTCATGAGACTTAGCACCACTTTTCCAGCCCAGTGTTGGAGAAACGATGTGAACTGTAGCCTCCTTGTCTCAGCAGACAGGAGGGACACGCTGTGTTGTCCTCTGCTGCTACAGCCTGCCTGCTTCAAGGTTCGATCTGTGTCCCTTCAGCGAATCGTCTTCAACATGTCAAACTGCAGAAATGCATTCTTGCTGCCACGTTGTTGACTTTTATTCACTATTTATGGCAATAAGCACTGAACAACCTATATTTCTTAACTAGTATTTCTTGTAATTCTCTAGTTCTTTTGGTGTTTGTGCGGGTTATAAATATCGATGTGTCGTTCACGAACGTTTCGATTCTTTTGTCGTGAACGGTAGAATTTGAGTTTCAGTTAGCGAGAGCTGCTCTTAGTGTTTTACAACTTAGCTTATAATGTTCTGCACACACATCAAAACTGTTGTTATTTTCATTTCATTTAAGATTATTGATACAATTGATAGGAATGGGTGGATATTTTCTATATTTAATGGTGCAGACGAGGATTTTTGTTTCTGCTAAAGCAGCTCCAGTCGATTTGTTGGTTATATATGAAAAAATATTAATGTTACCTAATACAGATTAATTTACATTTTTGTGACTTTCAAAAACTGTATTGGGAATAAATTGGCTTCTGAATGTTCAAACACTTATCTTTTTACTGACTCTTTAAAGTGAACAGTTCCTGAAGATTCAGTTCCCTTCAAAGAGTCGTAAGTCCCTTGGTTAAAACTTCTACGCAGTATTTTGTTGCTCCAATTGTATCTCATACTTTGATGTTTTAATCAGTGCTGGTCCAGAAATACAAAATGTCGAGCCAAGACAGACAAAAGAGGAAACTGAAGCAGTGTAACTCCAGAACAATCTGTTTCATCCAAGAGGAACGTCCTATAAACAGATCAAATCTCTGACTTCTCTCCCTTCAGACTGAACTTCTGAAAATAGGCCGTCTTTTAAAGTGAAACATTGTGAAATATCGCAGCGCGAAGGCACAGGAGGAGATTATCATGAGGCACAAAGGAGGCAAACTGGGAGGGGGAGAAGATGAGAGAGTAGAAGGATTACCGGATAACTACAAACAGAGCAGCGGCGGCGGGTGTGGGAAGAAGGCAAGAAAAAAAAAAAGAGTCGAGAGAAGAATTAGAAAAAGGTGATGGAGGACAGACGAAGGAAGAAACGAAGGACTGCTGAGACTGATTGTAATAGGATGAAAAGAAAAGAAGAAGTGGTGCAAAATTAAATTTTAATTTCACTATCACCCTCTTTTAGGATCTGACAGTCAAGCCGCCTGAGCATTAAAGACTCCAGACTATTATCTTGATTTTAAAGAGCAGAAATAATGACGTGTGAGAAAGCTCCAGCTTTTTAAGAAAGCACATATCAAACACCCTGAGTTCTCAGCCGCTCCTTTGTGGTTCTCTCAGCACTAATTGGCTCATTTTCGGTTTCACTGAACTTACCTAAAGGCTACTTGAACGTCCCTCTTACACCTCAGAAAATCTGCGAGCAGCAGCCTCGTTTTCACCCGTGGCTCTCCGTCGTCTCGCTCTGTAATCTAAATGGATGATAATATATTTTTAAAAGTGCTGTTTGCCTCCAGTCTGAGTGGGAGGAGACTGGGAGGGAAGCCACGGCAGCTTTGTCAAAACATTTCCTCAACCTCAATACACAATGGATTATACAGCATTTCTCCAAAGGAGGGAGAAGAAAAGCCTCACACATGCGGCCAATTAACCTATTGATGTAATTAAGGCTAGTGAATTGATTCTGGGGGAAGGCGCAGGCACTGACTTCAAGGAAAATGCAGGACGGTCACTTCCATTTATTCTGTTACATTTACTTTAGTAACTTTTTAAAAATGTATATATCCATTTGGGAGTATTTCTACTTTTACTTGAGTAATTTTATTATGAAGTATCGCTGCTCTTACCTGAGTAAAATTTCTGGATTTTCTACCCACTAAATGAAAAACAAACATGTTTTGACCAAAAATGTACCATAAACGGAGACACAAACCTGCAGTTTTTGTTAAAGTTTAATAAGTTTTAAAGAAACTGATTTGGGGAAAAAATGTTTTTGATCTGATTGTGTTACTATGACTCATTTTCATTTTTATCTTTAAAATACCGTTTCCACATAACTTTAAATTTTGATCCATTTTATGATGTAATTTTTAAATATTAAATTATTGCTGTTTTGATGAGTTACTCGGTACTTAATTTGAACCTTTTACCAAATACTTTTTCACTCCTACTTGAGGACATTTTTGGTATTTTTTGCTAAGCAAATATGCAATAAATCAGTTAATCGCATGTTAAATTGAAACAAGCTCAATCATTTTCATTTGCATTATTTATCATTTTTATCTTTTCTCTCTTTCTTTCTACCAAAAACTGGATGACAGAAGTTTCAGTCTTTTGCTTTTGTCTCACAGGACAAAACTTTTAAGAACAAATTTGTTTACAGAGACGTCATAATCTATTTTATTTCTTATTTTTGCTTATTAATTTTGGATATTTGAACGTTTTCCACTTGCGGTGTCGAATGATTATTAGAATTTAAAGTTTATTCATCTGTTATTGCATGATTGTGTCATTAATAATGCAAGATGGTCTCAAAACAACAACATTATTTTTTATCGCAATAACTTTTGGGACAATTTATCCACCTGGAAAATTAGTTTTCATGACCAGACTGAACTCTGGTCGCTGCTGATGGCGAAGCGACGTCAGGACCGAGCGCTCAGGGTTAAAGGAGCCTCCTTTTAACAGGAGAAAATTAAACATAAAGGAAGCATTTTTATTTCACCTAACAGCCTTAAAGCACTCATATTTCACCTCTAAACTCTGGGGTTTAATTGAATGCTCAGATTAGAGACAGTTTTGCCAGCAAAGCACTGCTTAAATTAAATCTGGACCATAAATGATGTGGAGGTGGATAAATGAAGAGCATAAGGTTTGTTTCCCAGCAGTGTGAGAAGAGTTTTTTCTGCCGTTTTGGCTGTGGAGATGCGGAGCGTCCGGGTTGGGACTGATTCAGTGTCGGGGCTTTAGAGAGTCATTTACATAAATCGACCAGATCCCCATCATGAGCCTTAACCATTTATCAAAACACTGAACACACAGGGAAACCTAACCACAGTATCGACTGCCTAACAAAATGTAGCTAAAGCCTCAGAAACAATCTGAGTGTGTGTGTGTGTGTGTGTGTGCCTGCAGGTATCACCGTTCTGCTGTCGCTCACTGTTTTCATGCTGCTGGTGGCTGAGATAATGCCCGCCACGTCGGACTCTGTCCCGCTCATAGGTACGTAGAGAGCGTGTTTTCTATTTTTATGTAAATTTAAATAAAATATTCATGACGTCTAGTCAACACATTCCACTAAATCAGCGTTTAAAGATTGTAAATAGGAGTTTGCATCCATTTCCAGGCTTATGTGGTCTGGCAGCCTGGAAGAAAAAGACAGAAAGCCATTTTTTTATTATTCTAAAAGAGAATCTCCATCCTCTCGATCGTCCTGTTCATCATGTGTTGTCGTCTCTCTTTATGAAGCTTTTCTATCCCATGTTTTCATCCTGTGTTTTCATCCTTCTTATTTCATTTTGTGAAGTAATTTCATCCAATTCATCATCCTTGCCTTGTTACATCATCCTTCTACTTCCTCTCTATGATGCCGTTTCATCCTAATTAATCTTCTGATTCTTCCGTACCGTCCTCATCATCAATCTTTATTTAACCATTCTATCCCTCTAATTTAAAAATGTAGAAATTAAAAGAAAAGCACTAGTTCCACTGGTGAAAATGTCGTGCTATAAGTGGCAGTAGAGCCAGTATTTTAAAGTTAATATTAAGGAATTATTGATTTAAAACAAACTCCTATATCGTACTGAAAAGTTAGTTTTGTCTTATTTCAAGTGCAGATATTTGCACTAGAAACTAGAACAAAAATATTTCAGATTTTGTGGGGTTTTTTTCAGTGTTCTTATTCACCACTAGGTGTGGATATTTATCATATCGTTTATTATTTATCGTGATAAATTTCTTATGGTAATTTAGATTTATTATGGTCATAATAAATTCCAATTAATGATGTTTAAAACAGTTCGTAATGTCAGGATTGTTAGTTTTACTATTTTCTTAACTGTTTTTTCAATCAAAGCATCAGTAAATATTAATAAATTTGAAAATATGATTCATCTGATGCAAATAACACATATTTATGTGACTTTATGTGAAGAATCTCATTACAAATTGGTGTTTTCCAAGAGCAGCATTTGTGTTTGTGTCAGTTACCTAAAAAGGAAGTAATAAATTATTATTATTAAACTTCAAGTCCACATCACCCAGCCCTGCATCCGACAGTTTCCATCCGATTTATCTTTCTGTCATCTCTTCTCAAGATTTCACTCATTTTTGTTTCAATATGTTCAAACTTTTCCCAACCAAACCAGCGCCGTACTTTCAGCTTAGAGTCACATTCAATCAGTCTAACCCTTAATTACATTCAAATTTAATTTAAATACAGCAAATCAATTCAGTACATTATCTCTCTCCCAGCGAAATCCATTTAATCTTCTCTCTCTTCTTCCTGTTTTGCTTTATTGCTTTTCGGTTTAAATCGTCTTCTTCCCAAAATCTCCTCTCCTTTAAACCAGTAAACTAATATTGGTGTGTTCTGGTCATTTATAGCAAACCCGTTGTCCAGTTGAGCAACACGGTGATTTGCAGCTAGTCAGGTTTACAACAGAGAGCTTATTTATCGCACCTATATGCTACTGTAAGGACATTTTATGCTGTCATAACATACAGCTACAAGGAAGCAGCGCTAAGAAAGATAACCTAAAAAAAAAAAAAAAGCTGAATTTACACAAGCCACCTGCTCACCCTGAAATTTAAGGGGCTAAATTTATTGTGGCCACGGTGCAGAAAATTAAAGACAGGACAAACTTCAGCCAGAAACGGATGCAAATCTCACCCTAAAGACACAACACCTTGTGTTTAAAAGCTTCAGAAAAATCCTCAGAGTGCTGCTCTCAGCATTTTTCTTGTATAAAGACAAACTGCTCTCATCTTAATCTGTTTGATTTTGCTGACATGAACAGAACGAATGAGCAGGGCCGTAACGATGCCATCAAACCTCAGTTACCTTGGGAAAAAAAAGTAAATTTGAATTGATTCTCCTCTTGAGAATGTGAATATGTTTTAAGTATTCAATCTTTGACCTCACAATGCTTGGAGAGAAATAAAACTTTACAGAAAACTCCAGCACCATGAAGGCAAATGACTGAGATGTTAACCTTGTAGATGTTTTTCTTGCTGCTCTGACTTGAAACTGAATTATTTCACAGCTTTCTCCTCCTCCTCCTCCTCCTCTTCCTCCTCCTCCTCCTCAGGTCAGTACTTTGCCAGCATAATGATCATCGTTGGGATGTCCGTCATTGCCACAGTTGTGGTTTTACAGTATCATCACCACGATCCAAATGGAGGGCACATGCCGAAATGGGTAAGACACTTTACAACGTACAGATCTGGGAAAAATGAAGAGTCCACTGCACTGAACCCCATTGAAAACCTCTTGGTTATTCCACCAAATACTGATTTCTGAACCCGAGTTAAAACATTAGTTTTGTTGTTTCTAAATGAACGTGAACTTGTTTTCTTTGCATTATTTGAGATTTAAAAGCACTCCATCTTTTCCCTTATTTTGACCATTTCTCATTTTCTGCTAATAAATACTAAAGTTTTGCTTGGAATTTCGGCCACATGTTGTCAGTAGTTCATAGAATAAAAGAACAATGTTTCATTTTACTCAAACATATTCAAGGTTTCCCCCAGAAAACGTGTTAAGCCCAGTGGTTGGGTGCTAGGGCAGCCATTCATCCGGCAGCCTGTCGTGTTTCTGAGTCAAAAAATACTTCAAGTTGACATGGAATTTAAAAATATCACTTGATAATTACACACCCGAGCACTAACTATAAAGTCTTACAAAAAACAAACATTTTAAAAAGACTTGGATAAATAAGCAATGCTAAGCCTGGTCGGGGCACAAGTAAAGCCTGGTGGCCCGCCAGGCTTATAATACACTTAGGGAAACCCTGATATACCTATAAAAAGTAAAATCAGAGAAACTGATAATTCTCAGTTTTCTCTTAATTTTTTCCAGAGCTTTATTTTCATCATGTTTTCTCTTTTCAACCTTCCTGTTATAGTAATCTTACTTTTGTTATTCCACTGTTCTGCCCAGCTCAGTTTCGTTAGCGCACCGTATGCTGCGATGCCAGATTCTCTTTTTATTCGCCGACTTCATCGGCAGTGACTCATCCAGCAGCAGCAGTCTTCAGTAGCGTGTTCATCAAATGCCTCGCCACAGACTACAACAGGAGTGCTTTTCAAAGCACTCTGGATATGTGGGTGTACTCGGTTTGACTCACTCCCTGCTTCTGTTTTTCTTACCTTCTGCTCAATGCTGAAAAAAATAACATGCCTTTATGAAGAAAGTTAGTTCTGACATGCATAATTTATAGTAGAAATTGAAATGTGGATGGGTAGTGTAAAATCCAGTCATATTTTAAAAGCATGGATTCACTTTTTTCTGCTTTACCTGCAAAAATGAGAACCTTCAATTATTGATATGTGGACAAGTTTGCTGACTGCTTGTGCAAGCAGGTGCTTTATGCATTGACATATCGCAAGGACGTTCTGTTGATGAATGGCCTGTGTAGACAATGCGACGCCCAATTAGCAAACTAATTGATGAGCTTCAGATTAGGACAGTTCATAATTAGAGCGCTGCACAAAAACAACACCAGCTGACTTCCAAAGATGTTCTGCAGACACTAATTGAGCAGTCATTTGGACATTAGCTCTCATTTAGCAGCCAGACTCCCATCTGGATGCTGCTGGGTCATTCTGCCCTTTCAGGACACGCTCAGGCTTTTTTTTTTTTTCTTCATAAAGGATTGGAGAGGATGAGTGGAGCAGAAGTTTTAAATCCGAACCAATTTGTGCTGTTTTTATCTAACGCTGTAGCTCACTAAAACACTGCTCTACAAGCTCATAAGGGCAATAAAACAGTAATCACACAGCCTATCTCAGTGAGTCCACAGTTTGAATTTAGGGCTACATTTGAAAGTAATTGAGAGTTTCTTTTGATAATCTAGAAAAGGCATAAAGAAAAAAATAAATCTTTGTCTTTTTTTTTTCTTTGCCTCGGGCGTTCTTACCGACCAACACTGGAAACCGAGACCAAACTGCTGCAGAATGAAACAAACCACAACGCTGGAAGCAGTCGGCATCTGAAATCAAACAGGCTTTTAGAACAGCTTCGTTGGAGCTCTGAGAGCATCAAGGAGAAATGATTTTAGTATATTTATAATACCTTATTCATTGATATTACAGTCAATTCTTTGAAAGTGTTGATTCTCTGTGAAAATGTTCACATTTTTCCTGTAAGACTATCATGATGTGGTAGCTGTAGGTGGTGAGGATGAAGCGGTTGAGTAGTGATGATGACTTAATGATAAACGCAACAATCCAGGCAGCACAGATGAGCAGTGGCAAAAGCTCTGAGTCTGGTAGCAGCTGGTAAATCATATGACAACTGGGAGACGGTAGACAGACACGAGACGAGGATCTGACAAGGAGCAGGGAACACAGGTGTGATCAGATACACAGGGAGACGATCAGGTGTAAACAATCAAGGGGTAGACGGGACAACACAGAGACTCGACAGAACACAGAAACCTAAATAAGTACACAGAAAAACCCAATCCTTACAGAGACCACATTTTGCATTTCATTTGCTAGAACAACACAAAGTAATGAGTAAAAATCTGGCGTACAGTTTTTTATTCACTTCCCTTAATTTAATTAATAGTTGAACAACTCTTCAGGGATGTTTTGACTAGAATGTCCCGAATGTTCAGTCACAATCAATGGGCACTGCGCCGTGGTCTAGCAACTCCAGTCAAGCCCAACCCCGTTACCTAGCAACCCAAGCGGCGCTCCAGCACATTTGGTCAGCTGGTTTTACTGCTGCTTAATGGCTGCTGGAAGGGACAAGTCCTTTGTTGTTGACTTACTATTCAGAACAACTCGCTGCACTCTTGTTGGTTGTGCAGGAAGCTCCACTTCTGCTTTTCAAAGGTGTTTGGGTGTATAATTGTACATCTGTTTGCAACCATTTTCACATGCAAGTGTAAGCATTGAGTAGGAGGCGTGGCCAGCAACTCAATGCTATTTGGATTTAAAATGACAAGAAGTCTGCAAAACTGAGCAGACTGAAATCTAATTACCCAAGAATCATTTTGTGCAAAAAATGTAATGCACATGTTTTTTTTTATAATCCAAAGACTCATCCTGACCTGTTCAAGGAAGCACAATAGATCCCCTTGATTGTATTTTTTCAGGAGAATGAGTAGTTGTGGAAGGGTTTGTATCTCAGTGTTTCTTTTTTCTCCTGCAGGTGCGTCTCGTTTTGCTGCAGTGGGTCGCCTGGTTCCTGAGGATGAAGCGGCCAGGGGAGAACGACGATCCGGAGCGACCGCCCTGCGCCCCGCACCTACGCCGCTGCTCCTCGGGATCACAGAGCGGCAGCATTCCCAACCCTCCCGACCCAACCCTCCACCCGCTGCACCCGCAGAACCTGACGCCTCTCCAGACGGGGCCCCTCCACGCGGGACACCCTCACCTGCAAACCAGCGCCAACAACAACGGGAACCTTCTCTACATGGGCTTCCCGAGCATCGAGGACTCTTCGGTGCTGTCGGAGCCCGTCCAGAGGAACAACATCTCCGTAGGACCTCCACGGGTGGCAGGAAGTCCGCCTCCTCACCTGTCGTCGCAGTTCTGCAGCTCCCCTCCGCCTCCAACTCCCAACATGGACACAGTGGGGTGTCCCAGCACTGTCTCTAGTGGTGGGGGGTTTGGAGGGGGACCAGGAGGGTGCTCGACATCTGTGATGGGCGACCCGCAGCTGCAGGCCATCCTGGAGGAGGTGCGCTACATGGCAGACCGTTTCCGAGAGCAGGACGAGACCGAGAGCATGGCTGACCAGTGGAAATTTGCGGGCGCCGTGATCGACCGCCTGTGCCTGGTGGCGTTTAGCGTCTTCAACATCATCTGCACCATCTCCATCCTCATGTCGGCTCCAAACTTTGTGGAAGCTATTTCTAAGGATTTTGTTTGAGGGGGCAGAGGGGAAAACAGGAAGAAAAAAAAAAAAACACACACGCAAAGGAACGTTTTGGAGAAAATTAAGTATGGGATGTAGAACGGAAAGGGCTCTGATCCAAGGAAACACGATTTCCAGCAAACTGTAAGCGCTGTGATTTGTGATTGCAAGGATCTGGGGGAATGGAAAGAAACTAATGGTTTTCTTTGCAATACCTGCTGTTTTGTAACCAAAAAAGAAGAAAACAGATGATGAAGGGAACATGGGGTGAAGTTTAAATGAAATTAGAGTGCAGGGTGCTTTATCAGATTCTTGACAAGGTGAAATTGGTTTTTGAGGCCGATTTGAAAAGGACTTTTGTTTAAAATTAAAGGGAAATATGAGTCTGACAAGGACGCCAATGCAACCTGAGGTAATGACGGTCTGATGTCAGGGAAGACTGTGGGCATAAAAGAGGAAGAAGAGACAGACAGATAGGCAGCGACAGATAAAAGAGACGGATATGTGACTGTTTCATTTCCTCAGTTATGGGAGACAGCCTCTTAGTCCCACAGGTGGAGAAAATACTGCATCACTCAAAGTGATGTGAGAAGAAGAGGCTTTTACAAGGACACAAAACAAAGAGCAGACGTGAAGGACATACACTGTCCCTCTGGGAACCTGAGACAGGCAGAGTTTTGGGAAGCTGCTTGATGCTCGGATGCACAAAAGATGACCGAAGATCAAGCGCGTCGCATCGCACAGGAACTCATCTATTATTCAATCACATTTCAGCTAATGACAGTGAAATTGAAAGGCTTTGGATAATCCTTCAGACTAACAAGCTTCTCAAAGATGAACTCCCATCTCTGCTTGTGAGCCACTTTGAATCTCCGAGACCTTATCTCTGTGAGACGATTGCCAATCAGAACGCTCCCCAGCGGCTCGCTCTGTGTGCGGCGCGCGTCCCGACCCGGAAACTCGAATTAGCCGCTCATCAACAATGCAGCGGCCCCGTCGCTGTGCCGCTGCGGAGACCGATGAAAATTCACGCACCGGTTACTTAACTGCATCTGGCAGGTCATAACGGACCAACGACACTCATTGGATTTCATATTAGAGGTTTAGTAACTCAGGCAGGAGGTCAGGGCTCAGAAAGGACACCAGAGGCAGAAGGAAGAAGATCATTAAACGTAGAGGAGCAGGCTCTTGTTAATTTCCTCTGACTGGTTTGCTGCTTCTTGACAGTTTTAATTTCAGAATATTTTTATGAAGTTTAAAGAATATACGAGAGCGCAAATCAACACCACAGCCTTCATGCAGGGATTTTCAGCAAAATATAGCAAGTCTCTCTGCTGGCAGTTTGAATAGAAACATCATCTTAGCTGGGCTTAATTCAGAAATATTAATGTGGTAACAATGTTTATTTATTATACAATTCCACCCTAGTTTTTATTTATACCACAGTGGCTTCTAAAGGTATTCATACATCTTGAACTTCACATTTTATCCAGTTGCAACCGTAAACTCAGAGGAATTTCAGTGAGATTCTAGCTTTGGATTTGTTTTCAGTGTCAGTACTTTGTAGGACCAAAGCATCTTTAATCAGTCAGACTTTACTCTATTTAAATACTTTAATGTTTTTTTTTTTTTGCCAGTTCTCCTCTATTTGGTGCTATGCGTCTAAAGCCATATTGATAACAAAAGTAGTGCATTCAATTTTTTTCAGAAAGGTTTTCTAATTTGCACATTACATGTTGAATTAGGTGTTTTTTTTAAAGCATACTTTTTCTTTTTTTTTGCGAGTGATTTACACCAAAAACTTATTTCAGAAAATAAACTTTCCTCTCACAATTGAACTTCAAACTGTGTTCATCGATAGTTAATGTTTAGATTAAAAGCTAATTATTTGGACTGGAACTCACGCATTCATGGAAAACATTAAGTGCATCTTCATTTCATATAAATTGGGATGATAAAAGATTTATTCTTCATCTAGTTAAAAAAAAACACTGGAATCTAACTTCAACAAATTCTAGATTACCGTTTTAAAAAAAACTGAAGAGCTGTTTCAAAATCACGAACAACCTACTTTTTGCAATACTTCAGTCTCTGACATCGTAGTGGAGGGTTTTTGACCCTCTCTTCACAACAAAGTTGCTTCAGTACATTAAGATTTGCAGACATTTGTTTCTCCCTGAAGGCCCCAGCGCAGCATTTCAATCAGCCCCAGGTCTGGATCTTGGCTCGTCCGCTGCAGCACCATAACTCTTTTCTTTCTCACTCATTCTGGGGAGGATTTGCTGCTGCATTTAGGATCGTTGCTGCTATCCTGTTTGGTCTCATCTGTCAAAAGAACCTTGTTTCCGTAGTCTTGTTCACAAAGTCATGCTACCAATGTTTTTTATAGAGAAGAGGCTTTTCTCTTGGCTTGTACTATTATTATGTAATTTCAACCTGCAGTATGCTAGTTGAAGCCTTTCTGATGAAGCTTTTTGGTTTATCTCCTCCTGGGAAAATTGGCAGCTGTCCTAAATATTTCACAATGTTAATAATTTCCGTAATGCCTCTCAGGTTAATGGGCAGCAGCAATTACTTCCTGGTGTTTCAGTCAAGTGATTTTTTTTTTACCAAGACAAATCAGTTTTTCCTTCTTGTTTTACACGGATTGTACATCTTCAGGCCGATATGTCACAAAAAACCAACTTGATTTTAATGTTAAGGGTTACTGAATATCAGTTTCCAATAAGAAAAAAGAGATTCTGCTTAAAACAAAACAACAATCGACCTGAATTTCTTTTATATTTTAGTCCCAAAGTGTACAAATCACTACATAAACTACCTTCAAACTGTCAGCAAAGATACAAAATCTAATTGTTATAGAAGAAGCAAAACAAGAAAAACCTTTAAAACTAGAGATTGGCATCATGAGAAATATTTTTGTCACATCAACAAATCCAGTTGGATTTCATTAAAATAGTGAACAGAAATGCTGCGTGTTGCAGTTTCAGCAAACGTCCCTCAACGTTTCAGCTGCAGATTAATTTACATCTGATGCTCTGGAGAGTTTTTACAGCAGCTGGATGATGTATGTGGGACTGATTGGGAATAAAACAAGAGCGCCTCCATTCATCCTAATAGGAAAACATGACCAGTGCAATGTGTGGCTTATTAATGAGCTTCTAATCATGTTATGACAGGAGGAAAATAAATCTCAGCGCTTAGCCTCAGGCTGTGTTTATTGGTGTTGGACAGATTTGCTGTTTGGGGTTTTCATTGGATCTAGCGACATGTATCTACATTTATTGCCACTTTGATTTATTTAAGAAAGCCATGAATATTTTTGTAGTTTTCCTGGAAACGTTTAAGCTAGAAGTGGCGGAAAAGGATTCTCCAGACGACTGAGGAGGCTCAGTGGTGAAGTTGAAGGAACCTACATTCATTTTGTGAACCTGGAGAAAAGCTACAGCTGCTGGTGGGGCATTTATCATATTGTTTTTCCTTTATCGTGGTACATTTCTTATGAAAAGTTTGAGTTATCGTCTTCACAATAAATTTCAATTAATGATGTTTCAATTCCCCCAAAGCTGTTCATATTGTCGTAATTTCTATTTTTACAATTTTCTCCGCCAATGAGATCAATAAATAAGAATACATGTAGAAATATGAGTGAATCCAAATACTGTGTGCAGTTTAGTAATACACATCACACTTATTTATGTCCTGAAGACATACATTTCAAATGGCTATGATTTTCAAGAGCAGTGTGTTTTTGGGAGTTTTTTTTTTTTATTGCTGTGCCCGTCAAAAAGAAAAAATAAATAGTATCGTCATGTTTATCGTTATCCCAATAGTACCACCAAATATCCTGATGAAACTTTGTCCATATCACCTGCCCCTGGATACAATCATGTCCCCCTGAAACATTTTGTTGGGAGACTTTGAAAGGTTATCTGGTGATTGTATTTCTAAATATGCGTTCCCAGATAAAAGCCAAGCTCATGAGCGTGAGATCGAGTATCTTGGTGTCCATTAGTGATGGCAGGATGTAGCTGCCAAGTCTGCAGAATTATTAGTTCTGCTTCAATCTGTCAAAGTGAAGGAAACTTAATTTATCGGCCCGTCCATGGTCCAACAACCATTCCAACTGTAACCTAATTTCATCCCAGATTAAAGTGGATGAAATTAACTTCTGCAATGCAAAAACACAATAATATTACCAACTATTTTTGGTCTAGTCCAAATATCTTAGTAATCTTGAAATAGGACAAATCTAACTTACAAGCTACAAGCAACAGACAGGAACTAGTTTTAAGTAAATAATTCCTTAATATTGATGAAAAAGTTCTAGTGAAATAATCTGCCAGTGGAACAAAACATTTTCTTTCCATATTAAAAAATGAGGTGTCGTGTTGCACTGCTATATTATTTTACTTATAACCAGTATTTTTTAAATATATTTTGAGGAATTATTGACTTAAAAGTGTAGTAATTTGGACGCCATCCAGCAGAGGGCGCATGGTAATCCTTAACCGGAGCCGTTGTTACAGGATTAAAGATGGCGGAGCTACACCAGAACTGGAAAGAGAAATGGTCCATAAGTGTCTGATACAAAACGTTCTTTATGCGGTTCTGTTTTGAAAATATAAACAATCAACAAGATCCTTAAGTTTCACCTTAATAGCGCTCATTCAGCCTCGCTGTGTAGCAGTTCTAATCATTCAAAAATGACTAATTTTCTATGAAGCGCAGGTGTAATGACAGAAATAAACGGGCCGAATAACAGAAAAATTGTAACGATTGGAAGAAGCGCGGTCGATTTTGAGGGCTGGTGAGTTAATGCACCTTATGGAGTGAAATTTTAACTTTCCTTCAATCCACATCAGTGACAGACGGTACTTCACAAAAGTACTGATTCTGTACTTTGTTCATGGGGGATTCACAAATTCTTTTCATGTTTTATTTTCCTGTTCAGCAACTTAGAGGTTCCCATTGAGAAAGTTTATTCAGTCAATGTCTAATGATGTTTTCTTTTAATTCAGCAAATGTAGCCCTTCATGTTATGGAAAGACCTTCAGCCCTCTTGATACAGGAGAAAACTCAGGTTGAAAAGAAGATGGCCGCTTATGAATTAATTGTTAGTCGATTAATCAACTTTAAATTGATGATTAATAGATAACTTGCATCGCTGCTGAAAGAATGATCTCTGGTTGTTCTCGCTGAACTTCACTACCCAATCTCACGGGCAATATGGATGGATAAACACCGGCTCTTACCTTGAAGGCCAACCACGTACATTCCTGTCTCTGGCTTCAAAGTGAAGAGCGCCTCTCTTCTTCTGCTGTCTTTCTGTCTCTTCTTCGTCTAACTCAATTCCACAAGCAGGGAGAAAGTAAACTTCCTGCCTGAGGGTTTGTTAAAGGTTATTCTCCTTTGAGCACATGCTGACACTCACATCTGTACAGAGAAAATAAAATATTCTCTTTTTTCCTACGTCTCGCAGTGCTTGTATTCCTGCCTTGTGACTGTCCCGACACCCAAAAAGAGGAGAAAAATGACAGTAAGGGGGAAAGAGGGAGACAGGAAATGCTTATGTGTCGGTGGGAGTGGACAGGATCTTAATTGATCACTAGTTCAGGAAGGAAAAGAGGTGGGGGGGGGGATATACTGGGAAGGTGCAGAAGAGGAAAGGAGGGTTAGGAAAGAGTGGCATCCTGGGTAATCCATCAGATTTATGGGAGGACGGTGGCAGCGGAGATGTGCGCCCAGACAAGTATAACTCAGTCACCGGCATCAAATTAAAGGTCGCTGCACTTTATCACACCCAGAGGGAGAAATATATACTCCAGAAATAAACAGAAATTAGAAACATATCTCTGTGCGTCCACACGCCCATTGAGGGAAATGGGGTTTATGTGCGGCCTTCACTGTGTCACTCAGTCAGTGTGCCAGGATGAGTAAAGAGTCACCGGTGTATTTATAGTAGTGCGCCGGTCCTCATTCAGGCCGGCCAAGGCTCCCTGCCTGATGAGCTAACTCGGCGGTGGAAAAATGTGCAGCGCCAGCAATCTGGCAGCACTTAGATTTACTGTGTTCACTCAGATGGAAAAAAAAAAGGAGAGGGAGGCTGTGGGTGTCCGTGGGGAAGATGAGCCTACGGGTTTGCCGTACGCACACACTTAAGCGGTTGTTCATTTATTTTTTACCCCCCAAACCTACTCTTATTTACTCCAGGGGTTAACCAGCCTCTTGCGGCTCTCAAAGATTTAACTACTGCACATTTTACAAATCAGAGGCACCTTAGGAAGACAAACTTTTGACAAACTCAAAACACCTTGCGTACAACCGATCCATAAAACGCTAATTGTACAACGTTAACGCAGCCAGCCGGTGTGTTGGCACACCTGTTCCCTCTCTAACAGTCCCGCTACGGCGCGCTGCGGCTGCCTGCTTGTGTACCAACAATCTTGCGGCTGAGGTTTCGATCAATGCCTTTTAATTACCAGAGGCCCAAAGCGCCGGTCGATAGAGCTGACGAGAAGCAGAGAGAGGGAGATTCTCCAGACGTTGATTGATGCCCGCCTCTCCCTGAGAGCCTAATGCCTACAGATGTGTCGTTAGGCCTGATTAATCCTGCCTGGCTGTATCCACTGGTTTTACAGACTGTCCTTTAACCTGCTCGGGCCGCTGTGGTCACGGGGTTAAGTGGATATGAGGTGTTCACCCACTGGGACACTGGCCCGTTGCAACCAATCAGTCTGCAGCGACTCCCTTACAGAGTTATTCTGTTTTTCCTGTTTGGTACAAAAAAAAAAGAGTAGTTTTCAAATGATTGATTAATTTATAGGGTGAAAAAGAAGCTATTCAAGTCAACCATGTGATAAAGTAAATGCCTCTTATTTCTGTAAACATTCGGTGCTTTACATCGCCCTTGTTTGCAGCATTTTGTTAAATAAAGGTGGCCTAAAATGTTCATTATTTATTTATTTTTTGCATAAAATCAGTCTTGGATAATGAGATTTTAATTTGCTCAGTTCTGTCTATTTTGAGCTGTTTAAGGCCTCTTATCACTTTAAATCTGAACAATCCGCTCCTGGTCACACCTCCTCAACTCAACATTTAACACTCGTGGGAAAATGGCTGAAAACAGATGCACAATTATACGACCGAACAGGTTTGAAAAGCAGAAATGGAGCCTCCTGAACAACCAACCAGAATGCATCAAGTGGTTTCTCAATGGTAAGTCAACAACAAAACATTTGTCTTATCCAGTAGCCATTGTACAGCGCATAGAGCTGGAAAAGCAGCTGACCAAATCTTCTGTAGATCTCTCTGGGTTGCTAGGTAACGTGGCTGGGCTCAGCTGGGGTTGCTAGGTAACAGAGCGATGATTGGTGATTCTGACTTAATAATTGGGAAGTTTTTGAAACGGCTCATTTTTCAGACAAAAAAAAAACAGTTGGGTGTTTTTTTTTTGTTTTTTTTTAAAGCGCCTTGTTTATTTTTAGAAGCAGTTGAGACCAAAGTAAAAGTCCAAAAACATCCAAATGTGAATTTTGAATAATAGGTCCACTTTAAGCAACACTGGATGTTTTTTTTAATGTTAATGCTGAAGGTCACATCAGTTGGATTTAAGCCCAGGCCTTAAATCCAACTTGCCCAGGGCACAGAAATATTTTTATTCATTTATTTATGAGCTTAGTTTTTCTGCTGCATGACCCACGTTTGCTTCAGATTAAAGTAAAAAGAGCTGAATTTAGGGTTCTATCAATTATAGAAAGTTATATTAAGTAAGTAAAGAAGCAAATCAGCCCCAGTCCATCACACTACTGCCACAATGTTTAATGATTTGCATGAAGTTTATTTTTCTGAAATGCTGCAGATTCATTGCATAAACAGAGATTTTTTTCTTTTTAATTCCACTTTTGTTTTCTTATTCCACAGAATATTTTACCAAATATCCTCTGGACCATTAAAATGTTTCTCTTTTATGTGAGACATTTATCTAAAATTCATATATAAACAGCTCTGGAAAACAGTAAGAGACCTCTTAAAATGATCAGTTTCTCTGATTTAACTTTTTGTAGGTATGCATTTGAGTAAAATGAACTTTTTTATTTTATTCTATGAACTACTGACAACATGTCTCCGAAATTTCAAGCAAAAAATGTATTTATTATCAGAAAATGAGAAATGGTCAAAAATAAACAAAGAAATGCAGTGTTTTCATACCTCAAATAATGCAAAGAAAACAAGTTCATATTCATTTAGAAACAACAATACTAATGTTTTAACTCAGAATAACCAGGAGGTTTTTAATGGGACTCTTCTTTTTTTTTTTTCCAGAGCTGAATATATTTCAGAAAATGCTTCATGTTTTCAAAGTTTCCCTTAATTCACACACCTGACTTCAATAAAAGGGTGATTATCAGGCTTCTGCAGCACTTAATAACATGGTGAGGAGGTGATGCGTTCACTTGATGCAGGAAATATCTAAAACATGAAAGACAAACATGTAAACGCAAAGTTGAGTGGAAGGAAAAAATGTGCATCCCCCACACAGGGATAACTGCAGCCTTGAGGTGTTTAGGGTTAAAATATTCACTGCACTGAGCACAAATACTGTACAGTATTTGGACAAAGTCCAGCTTTTAACATACTTTTATTTATTTTTACTAGTCTTAACTTTTTGACTCAAAGTTTTCTGAGAAACCTGATGTTGGAGTTTCATTACCTGAAGGTCGTAATCATCAAATTGAACACAAATTACATTCATGGAATAAAAGTTTGACATTTTGAGCGACACAATAATGCATTTCCGATGATTCCAATTTACTAACACGCACCTCTCAAGACGAGAGAAACAAATGACTATGAAGGGGGAGGGGGGAAGTCAGCCTGCACTCATTCTCTTCCTGTTTTCCATAATGTGACCTCGGTCTCCACTTTCACACGCTGAAGCATCATCCAGGATGTTTCTTCTTCATGCCCCAGTAGGTCAAAGGCAACACAAACCAGCCTGAGATGTTATGGGCTCTAATACGATGTGATGGATCTGCCTGGTAAAATTCACTGAAGATGGATTATCCATACGGCCCATTTTATGGAGTCACTGATAATGTTACAGAAAAACGAACGCTGACTGCTGTGGCGTGAAGCATGAAGGCAAAGTAGTACTACTTTTTTTTTTATTCCACTCTAGAAATCATGTTTAAATAACAAACACAATGTTGCATGCATTTAAAATCTTGTGATACTCGCTTTAGTTAGAGGGAATATTCATGTTCAGCGCTCCTCTCGGGAAAAATGCTGTAATTCTGTGTAAGTGCCATGGATTTTTTATTTTATTTTTCCTCAAAGAGCTAAAATAAACAGAGATAATCTGAGTCTTCTGGTTCGGTTCTGAGCAAGTATATGCGATTATGCAAGCGCAGAGAGAGGGGGGGAAGGCGCGGTTACATAATGTTATTTAAGATTCTAGATTCAGCACAAGGAGAAGCTACTTCTGCACACCGAGCGAGGACACAGGAAAGAAAGAATAATTGACTCCAGCAGACGAAGACGACGAAGAAGAAGAGTGCCGGAGGTAACTCGTTTTGGAGAGGCTCCCGCACCGGAGCTTCAAGACAAGTGGACAATAAGTGGACTTGACACATTTTTCCTCAGGTGTGACCACTAGATAAGCAGCAGCTCTGAGGTCATTATTCCAGTCTGACAGGGAAAATTGGAGGCTCTTTTCGGAGGAGAGGTGTTCCTGTTGTAAGACGGGGATGTTTCGCTTTCACCTCCTCAAACAGCAGCTGGAGATCCTCATTAAGTTCCTGGTGTTAAATTATCTGGAGCAGATATCAAAGTTTCTGCTGGAGAGTCAGTGAACAGAAGTACTAGGGTTTCTTTTAGCTGTGATTACAATTCATTTAAAAATGCAAACAGAAGTTGACTCGCGACTTTACTGTACAATGAGGAGAAACTGAATGAACATAGTAGAAACTCCATTTAGATAAAATGTAAATGGGAATGCTACACACACACACACACCCCTAAGGCATCCTTACTCTGTGTTACTGACATCGTGGAGATTCCTTCACACGTCTACATCCCGGAATAGCACCTGACCCAAACTCTTGCCCGAGTTGTTCTTGAAATCTGCCTTTGAAATACAGTCATGAAGCCCTTTTATCCCCAAGGCTCCTGAATGAAGCAATACAAGAACTTCTGGGTTCTGGACCTCAATCAAATTATGTATTAGTGCATACCTGGGTCGCTCTTCTGCTTTTGTTTCTTATGTTTGGTAAAATAGTCAGCATTAAATTGTCTGCGAAAATTAATAAAAATAAATATAATAAGTCACAGACTGTTCCTAGCACTGTGCAATGATTAATACATGAATAATCCTAATGAATTAATTGTAATTAAA